AAAAAAAAAAAAAATACTGTAAAAGTTGAAATGCAACAAACTTGGAAACATTGTTTGCCAGTGTCTGGCAACAACACAGTTGATAAATGCTTTGTTTTCCTGCGAAACTTCTTAAACGTTTCAGTCACTCACAAAAAGGAGAGAAAAAGGATATATTCTTACTATATTTAATATTAATATTATATTACTATATTTATGATCTCTAAAGGGAAAAGTTCAGTGTTTTGCGTGGATATTATGATAAAAACATACTTCACCAAATCTTTCGCACCAGCGGATACCACTGGTTTCTATTTCGGAGGGGGTGTAAAACAATATCATATATATATATTTATTATTTCTATTATTTTAGATTTAGGTATTTGATATATGCATCAAATTTGACCGAGGCTATATTTAGTGTATGAGACCATCGGATCACTCAAGCGTCTGGTTGAACGAGACTATGTAGATTACAGTTCAAATATATCCGATGTTCTAAATATAGACGTAGGGTGCGACAGATTTCGGATAGTTAGAACGGAAATTACAAGGGAATACGGTAAGTTTTTCGATTTGTTCGCTCCATCGTTTTATCACATTTCTTGTTATCATTACTCTTGACTTAAAACATTAACATCTCCGTCTTAATTACAGGTGTGACTCTAGAATTACAGATGTGACTCTAGAATTACAGGTGTGACTCTAGATCTAGATATATTACTTAATACAAGTGCAAACAATGTAATATGGTGCATTGCGTATGTACCTGCTTTAGTATGTATACAGGAGTGGTGATTAGTGATATACGCAATACAAGTTAATGTTTAAAGATATTCCACAATCACTTACTTTACTTATTTATTTATACATTTATTATTTATTTAAGTATGTTTTGTTTTTTAAATTATAGTAGAATAATGCAGGGAATAACGGAATTAGTTTCTGTGAATTCTCTATTTGGTACTTATGTATTTGTAGTCATTGTTTTCTGACTCGGTCAGTTCTTGAGGTTGGTTAACTAATTAACTAATTGTAATTAAATACTGAGATAAAAACCTGATTCTTGGTGCTTGATAAAAGCCCAATATCCTCGCCATAATCATAGTATATGAGAAAGCAGGATTCCAATTACTAGATGCGAATCGCACAAAGAAGAACTACTCTATTTAATACGATATAGACTCGAAAACAAGTTTAATTATTAAAAGTGAACAGACTCAAAAACAAGTTTATTAAAAGTGAAATGCTGAACTGATAATACATCTGGATATGAATTGTGCTAAAATGTCTCCATTCATACGGGAGAGAAGGATGCTAGTTTTACCGCCATTTTCCATATTTGGCCCCGCCCCTCTGACTCCGGTGGATGGGTTGGCTGGGTCAGTGGTGAGCCACACACTCCGTTTATACAGAATTAAGTCCCCTATCCAACAGGTGCTATAGGGGTGTACGCACTAAATTTTATACAAAACTGTGTCCCTTGCTCACAGAAGCTTTAGAACCTATGTTGGATAAAGCCCCATTCAAACAGATGGAACAATAGTTTTCAAAGAGTTCCCTTTATTGGGCATCTCCCCGTATGTCCCCCAGTGGGCCCCAATTTCCACACATTAAATACTAATACTAAATATAGAATTGGGAATACCCGGGAAATATACTATATATATATGTTAGTAAGCATTACACTAGCAGGACAAGGGAGTGGACAATTGTAAAATAGTAAGTACCTTAACAAATTCACTCTTTTGTTTGTTTGTTTCTCATACATTGGATTATTTCATCCTCTTCAACTGAAACATTAACATTTCAGTAGTAACTATAAAGTGTGATTCTAGATATACGGATTACTTCACACAGGTGTTAACTTAACCTAGGATTGGTAGGGGTGTATTGCGTCATTGATTTATTTAGTGTGTTCAGCTCCCCCCCCCCCCCCCCCCCCCCCGGAATTTATTTAGTATGCATTATGTATAAGGAAATTGTTTCTACGTTATTTAAGCAATGAATGTTTTGACAAATATTGTTATGGTCCTATAACACACTTTGCTATTGATGACAAACTTAATAAAGCCCGACAGCAATTTATTTAGTATGTATTATGTATAAGGAAATTGTTTCTACCTTATTTAAGCAATGAATGTTTTGACAAATGTTGTTATGGTCCTATAACACACTTTGCTATTGATGACAAACTTGATAAAGCCCGGCAGTAATTTATTTAGTATGTATTATGTATAGCGAAATTGTTTCTACATTATATACTTTAACAAGATTTGACACAATTTTATACGAGATTCGTAGAATATATGGAGGGATTAAAGAAGTTGTGGTGTTCGGTACTTTTCTTTTCTGCTCTTTCTTTTTGCTGATGTCTCCTTAGGCACCCCTCCTCATCTGACCTTTGCTTTTGTTTAAACACGGACAAAGAAACAATTTATTTCAATGTCAACAACTTTTGTTGACAAAAAAAAATTTGATTGAATACCAAACTTAGAGCCTTTATTTAGTTACCTCTACAATAAAATAAAATGTATTCAAATAATATCCGGTAATGGATAAAAATGAATATACATGTAATACATCATAAGATGGAATTTGTCACATGTATATCATTTACACATTTAACTTCAAATACTTACTATTTGTTTTTGTTATAAATGTTTTGTTATGGAATATGGATTCCAATTCATGGTGCTTTTTACATGTTCAGCCAAGGAATAAGTGTACCAGACTATCTGACTTAAATGTCCATAATTTATCTCTCTTAAGTCTTTTATTCAGGAATTGAATGCATATTTCTTCAGTGTTTATGAAAGATGTTTTTTAAGTCAGATCTCATGTCATTAGTGTTTATAAAATTTCACAGCCCATTCCACATTGTATACAGTTAGTGAAATAGTGTTACACTAATCATTTAAACACTTGAATGGTTAACCAAACGATTCATTGTAATAAAATATTTGGATAAGAGCCCAAATATCCTCAATAGGATCGTGGTGTTTAATGACTATGAATAATTCGGTGACTAAGATCCAAAGACATGGATGCCAATTACATAGAAATATGGATCCAACCAACAGTTTCCGTGTAGTTTAGAAATATTCGCTATTGTAAACAGAGAATTACGAGTTATTACATGGCATGTATTGTGATTTTCTCAATGCAGTCTAATATCATGCTTTACATTTAGTGTGGTCTTCGCGCTTCAATAATGTACACATTTTGAGTTTTGAAATGGGAAGGGAGATAACCTTTACATACAAGTACATTTGTTGTTATTAAAACACCTTATTGAATTGTTCACTGTTTGGTTATCTGTTTTAGATGACCATGGGTGTACCGGTGTTCATAGGAATTATAGCATCATTATCGTTCATTATTTCACAGGTAAGGTGGCGGTTCTTTCCTTTTTGTGTCACCTCAGTGTAATTTAATCTTTAATGCATCGCCTACTACAATTGTTCTCTTTACTGGTGTTATTAAATTATTTCTTGATACACAGATTTCCTTTTCTGTATAACTAACTGAAAACGATTTCTCACCAACGGTTGAAATATTGTAACAAAATAGTTCTGTAACATTTTATATATATTTGTTTGTTATTATTTCGGTTTTGATCTCATTCCTTACATATATATGTGAAAATGTCTTTATAAAAAGGAAACACGATTACTTTTGTTCTGTTTTTCTCTTTTTCTATGCAGACCACAGAGCTGCGCCCTTACATCACAAAAGGGAACCTGTCATGTTTTGAATGTCCACCAGGGTTTTACCTCTCTGGAGATTGCACCAGTAATAACACCATCGCAGTTTGTAGGGTGTGTCCATATGGTTACTACTCCAGTGTCCCCGGTGTCCATACCAGTTGTGCAATATGCTCACCGTTCTGTGAGTCAGCTAATCTTATTGTGGTGTCTAGCTGCTCGTCAACAAACAATTTGACATGTGACTGTCCGTCAGGAAAGGTACTGAAGGATCCACACGACAAACACCATGCTATATGTGAGGATCCACCAACACATAAACCTCCGAAAACCACACAGAATTGTAACTTACCCACTAACGTGTTCTTTAATGTTTACTGTTCCTTAATATGAAACCTACTTAGTCAGATCGATTAAATATATAGAGGAATTTCTAATTTTACCTCACATCATCTAATTGTTTTACAAGAAGTTATGTTTTGTTTTGTATTGTGTTACGGCCCTTCGACAATTCGAGTCATTGAGGGCCACACAACGATGTACAAATTAGACATTCACAAAACAATGAATACATAAAAACCATAAACAAAAAGATTAAAATGTGTAAAAGATGTAAAAAATAATATACCAGTAGCAAACGAATTGACTATAAAATACATCATTTCTTATCATAGAGAATGTTTGAATGTCAATAATCATATATTGATTGCACAGAAACTGTATCAAATAAACGTTTCATAAAGGGTACATCGGAAAATCTCTCACGTATTTGTTTGAAATCAGCGCATTCAATCATAAATGTTTGACTGTAGATGGTTGATCACATGCATGACAATAAGGTTTTTCTTCCTTACGTACAACGTTTTCTCTGCGGTCTGCTCTACTTATTGCACACGAACCTACATTAGGTTGCAAGTTTATTCATTTTTGTTCATAATTATAGAAATTGTTCTTTCGTCCCGATCTAGTGTACCTACCCGCTTTATCAGATTCCTAATTGCTTTTTTGACACAGAATGGTGTCTGCCGTCATCTTATTCTTTGAACGCCTCTTTTAAATAACATAGAGGGTTGGCTGTTTAGCATGTGCAACGTTTGCACAAATGAGTTTAGAACAAGTAATAAATTACATAGCTTTGACCAAGTTTTAAAGTCATTGAACCAAATATGTTAATTTTAATGACATCCATTAAACGGCCAAGGTTCGTGATATTTTACCTAAAGCATACTGGGTTTAAGAATATTAATGCTCGTTCAAAAGAATGACATTGATTTACTTTCAAGATCAAAGAAATCAAATATGTTTTAACTTCGAATTTCCCAAGAAGTATAAAGCATGTATACTGTCGACTGACTATAAATATTGCAAATGTGAGATGTTTTGCCAGCATTAGTGAATAACAGATGAGTGATTCAGGCCAAATATGCCTCTTGTTTATAAATCATTTCTCAAAGAGGATCATCTGATAATGAAAAGTAGGGAAACATCAATCATATCAATTGTAAAAGTGGGTTTCAAAATGTCTGATGTACGCACGAGACGGCTAATCAAAGTGATTGCCAAGCTTGCGAGTTAAGAAAAGGAAATCCTCCCAAGAGGCCGATATTTTGGACTCAATTTCAGAACACAATACGTTACAGCATTGCAATGGCAATTTCAGAATTGGGGTATGTGCAATTCTGTCACAACAGAAGTTGAGGCCTGGTGTGTCACCATCCTTAAGTGTTCTTTCAGATGCTATCATTAAGTACGAGGGGACGGGTTATTGTTTCACATATTAAGCAATAAAAAGAACCTATGTTTCGCAATAAATAGATAAAAAGGAACAATTTGTTCTTGGAAAACCAATGTTTCGCAGTAAATACATAAACTGTATCAAATCGTTCTCGGAACACCTATATATCGTACATCTTTCCCATTTCTTTATTGTGTAACCGAGGTATTGATGTTTATAAATGTTATATCATATATACTTGAAAGTAATGATGTCAGTTTATTTATTTTTGAAAGATTTTCGGAGTTAACTCGAATAACATTACCAGGTATGTATTTTAGGTTCAGCTGATACTGCAGAAAAGCATAATGTATCCATATACAACCAAACACAAGCTGATCCTGGCTCAGGTAAGTAAATATGTGTGGCGTAGTACAGACATCTCTTTTGTCTTCAATGTCGAACGTTTGCTTATGAGAGGAAGGCAAATCATCGAATATTAATGGGTTCTTTCCCAATCCCGGGATTTACCAAAGCCTTTGGAATCCTGGCTTTTATTCCATACTTCACGTTAAGCATTAAGGGAAATGACAACAACTGGTTTATCCGTTGCCAGGTTATTTATGACGAGGTTGCCCAAGCATGGTTTTTCAGTGAGATAACACTCTAAATTCGGCATCAGATCCGCGCTATCACAAGGAGGCAACTACACAAGCATACACAGATTCACACATGAATTAAACACATGGCGGAACGTCTTTGTATTACCGCAGTAGTTGAAAGGTCGTTAAACCCAACAGCACGAAACAAAACCGAAGAGAACAGCTGAGCTAAATTTTGATAAGAAATTGGCAACTAGGCTACTGTACTATGTACAATAAATCGTTTTACATGCTTTGTGTAATCATATACACGTAAGAGGAATTTATATATTTGATCTACTACTTTCATATGCATCTTTATAGGAGCGCCTTGATAATAACCACAGATATATGGTACTTCATCATACATGCTTGTTAATGACAACGTTTTCTGGTATCCCTAATGTATATCATCTTGGATGTACAGAATATAAAAAAAAAAATCAGTATAAAATATTTTTGTCCGAGCTGCACGTGCTGAGAGACGTCAAACCAAGTCAAACGCAATGTATGGCTCCATGATTCTTTAAATGTTGTATAACCGTTTATATATCTTGATAAAATAGTAATTTGTTTCAATTTTAGGAACAGTTGAAGATGTCGACTTCAGTAATTTAACTAACTCCACTTGTCCTGCACAGGACAAATGTGTGGATAGCAACAATAGTAAGTACTGTGTACAAGCAGGTAATTGCTGTATTGTATCAAATGAAAAATTACCATTGTTCTAACGTATAACATGTACCTGCAATAAAAGAATAAGACGTGACATAATATTATTATTATTATTATTATTATTATTATTATCAATGCTTAACGGCCCATCAACACAAATTAGGTCTTTAGGGTCAACAAATGGTCGACAAAAACAAATGCTAAATATAAACATCAAACCAAACTGAAAGGTAAAAGACAAACGTCAAATTGAATATTGAAAGTGGCTATGGTGACTAAATTTTATTAAAAAGACCAACATCTTTCAAATAGCCTAAAAATGTGATAAACTGAAATAACTTATTTAAAAAAAATGAATCTTAAAAACGGGTTTCCGTTTCAACGATTGTTACATTTGTTTTTTCATTTCAGGTATATCTCTCTCGGATCGGGTCATCATCGTTTCTTTAATAGTATTCAACATATTTATACTGTGTATGTTTGTGATATGTAATACACAATGCTGTGACAAGTTGAAAGGTAGATGTAGATGCAAAGGAACAAACACCGACAGGTAAGTTTCTTCATGTTAGTTTACATTAATACTGTAGTCTGAGTTCTTACAGGAATGAACCATAAAAAATACTACCACAGCGTATAACCGGTCTTACAATTATTGACGATAGTCAGTAACATGTCGCATTAAGTATCAGATGAAAAGAAAAATTCAAATCATCTGTGTTTAAAATTCACTTCTTAACTTCTTTCGTTCATATCGAAACTAGGATTTGTTACATTGCATTTGTTTAGTTTGGTACTAGCTGGTAATAGAACGTTTAAAATAAAACCGAACCGGACCGAATCAATTTTATTATTGCATATGATGGATTCAAAATGAACTGTGCATGGTTTAAGTCTTACAACAACAGCTTATTCAAAATAAGTATTTGCCCCTTTTTAAATATAATTAATTGATTTTGGCAGTCTCTACAGATACATTTACCAAACGTAGAACAAAGTTACATGAAATCTTTATGATTCACACCCGTGTATTTAGGCGTAGATGAAATCGTTAGAAGCTTCACTTTTACGGGTATCCTTATGGATGATAAATTTTGGTAAAGCTTTCGTTAGATCCTCTGGTTTTATCCTATAACAAGTTAACTTCGGGGATTCTCTGTCCTTATCCATTATATGAAAAGTCTTCTATCGTGTCCCTGTTGACATGAAACACAGCAAGAAACCTTAAGACACCTAAGAAATTAATTGAAACTGTGATCTCCTATCTGCTCTACGATAAGCACAATAACATAACTTTCGGACTTCATGTATTTCACTACGATGCATTAGAAACAGACTCGTGACAATTGTACAGATAATATGTACAATATACCACACATCATTATATGTGCACAGCAATCTTTTGAATCATTATAGTGTTCCTGATCAGGCAAAAGAAAAATTGGTGAAAGTAGAATGGAATCAAGGCGAAGAAGAAAAAGAAGAAAGCCGTGTGGAAATAGGCAATGGTACAAATGATGAGTAAGCATCCATAAATATTCTTGTGTTGCTGATTGACAATAAAAGAGGGACACACACACATGCACGGAATATTGTTCAAAGAATGCAGAATTTCGAGAGATTTATGTCACCAATGATAGAAGTTGATTCAATTAAAACAATTGTAATTAATGTATTTAACATCTGAGGAGCTACCACTAGATCGGATTTCCAAACCTGATAAACATTGCTGTTTATTTCACGCATTTCGGCGAAAATGGTCGTATTAATTAGGAAATGTCTGTCCGTCTCTTTGTCCATCTGTCATGTTTTAATGAACGTTTAATCGGTTCCCAACGTATAACCTATTTCGACAAAATGTGCCATGCACATACACAATAACAGAATTCTAAAGCAATTAACATCTTAAACGTTATAAAGAATACTTGGGTAATAAGATAAAATGTTATAATCAAAATAAAATAAGTCATAAGTAAGGTGTGTCAATTGCAAGCAGACAAGGGCAAATAGCTGTAAGCGACATCAAGTTTGTATAAGTCCATGTATTGGTACACTCATCCTTAAGCCTTATCTTATTTTGTGAAACCTATAACATCAAAATAATTTGATAAAATGCTAATTGTAATATATTTCGACAACAAATAGCTTTGACGGGGTACAAAGCTGAATTGCAAATCAATCATTAAAATAAGTATTAGGCCGATATCTTTTTACATTCATACTAAGATGACCGATACATATTTACTTTTGCAACATTTTTAAATGACAGATATTTATTTCTGTAACTATGGCAACCAATGTCATCATTTTGTATCTGCACAGAGATCTCAAATATTAAGCAATATTTATTTTGTATCTTTTCAGACAAGTTCCAACAAATAGTTCTGAATTGACGACATTAGATAACACTGACGCATCTCATGGTGAGGCTGTTCCGCGTACCCCTACCTCAACAACACCTCATTTGACTATTCTTCCAAGCGCAACCGGTAATGGAAACAGTCCGTCTGTAAATGACAATGAAAGGGGATAGGTACTGTCGACAAGGAAACGGTTCGTCCTTAACAACTGGAACATGTAAATTCTCCACAAGCGAATGCAATGTTAAGGGAGGAAGGTATACCCTTCTTAACGACTTTGAATGTGAAGGGAGACATTGCTGTTATTGTCAGACTTGGAATTTGTTGTGTTCTAATGATTCTCGTTCGAATGATGATCGATATGCACTTGCACATCGACGAATTGGGATCTGGACGCAATGTGGACATGGAGGAAAAAGTTGGCAATCTACTCATATACTATCGGGTAGTATGTAATAAAGTGTTTCCATTTAAACAACAACAACACAAAAACAAACAAACGAACAAAAAATATGCATGATTGTGAAGTGGTTTCTTCATGCATTTTATAATCGCAATAAGGTATTTATTAATGTTTAAATAATTACTAGTAACCGAAAGTAAGGAAATAATTAATGTAAAGTCAAGTAGAAAGTTAATATATGGTCATTTTATTTAGTGAGGACTCTGTTGCGGTACTGTATTACAAAGGAATAAAAAAAACATGTGAAATCTCTTGTGTTTGTCTTACTGTAGGCATCGTATGGTCCAGGACTCTGCTTGATCTATGAACCTTTTTATAGTTTAGAAGAATTTTAGTAGAGTTGAAAGCCGAATACGAAAATATGATTATATACAAATGTACAAAATGTATTAAGGTAGCAGTCTACAGTAGAAATGGCCCGACTCTGAAAAACTAGGCACATGTCGAGGAAATGTATACACAGCGGATTTACCCTACACAACACATATATACATGTGTATATATTTGTAAACTGCATTACATTTACAATACATATAAAGTACTAAGAAGTGTATAAACCTCTTTTTTTCTATGTATGTCACTTGTTACCATGGTTACCACATCAAAATTTACCAAAAAATGCCAACAAATGCTATTTTTGACCTAAAATTTGACCCTCGCAACAATTTTTTTTTCCAGAGTTTTGTCTTAAATTAAAGATTACCTACTTGGTTGCAGATTAATATGGGTCCCAGTAAAGTTGTAAAACTTGATTTTTTGCAATTTTGCGTCGTGTGCTGTTGTCAAAATTTTACCTCCTGTGAAGCTAACTTTTCATGTGTAGGCACCCTTTCGGATTGTGGCCAAAATTTTGATCTCGAACTAAAACCTTTTTTTTTTTTTACAAATGTGAAGCTCACATAGCCTTCCTTATCATGCTTACCACAATTTTAGTACAGTTTTATTTTTATATTTTTTTTTACATATCATTATACAGGGGTTAGCCATTTAACAAAAATATCACCCATGGCCACAACCCTCACCGTAGACTGCTACCTAACCAGAGCTAAAGCGCAATGAATAGAGACTATTGAAAGGACTACAAAATACTTCTGCAACTAAAAAAAGAAACACTGTTCATAAAAAATGTCGCCAAACTAATGTGGCAGAGACGATATTTGTGATATCTGTATTTATAATATTACGGTATATACATATGTTCTGATATAGTAATAGCGATCTCTATATTGTGGTATAGTTCTTTCCTTATTTTGGCCTCTTGGATTGGTTTGGTTATATGTATTTTTATCATTGGTCAGTTCTGTAAGCTATCCCGTTGTCACCTCTTGGGTAAGCCAATGGTCAAGGTTTTCTTTGTTTTCTTTGAGTGACCAATGGTTTTGGCGCAATATTTATCAGAGACTATATTTATATTGTCAAATTGATAGATATACGATCTTAATAGTTAATTCTTGATTCGTTATCACCTGTACCGTATATATATATATACTGCGTCATTTTAATTGTATTATATATATACGTGTTTCTTTGTCATACAGAAATTACGAGTACACGTAAAAACCTCGGATAATTCCGTACGACTTCAAATGGCCCTGTTCCACAAATAGGTACAGTTTTCTATTTTAAACTTATAGTAATGTATTGATGAATGTATTTTATTGTACTCTTTGTCTATTTATTAAGTAACCTCCGTATCAATAAGTACTGAGTTCAGATAGATTTACATCATATGTTCAATATTACATGTGTATAAATATCAGTAAATATAATGAAAAATCTAGATGTAATATAACTTTTATAATTTATAGAACTATAATCTTACATGTAATATCTTAAGATAACTTCTTGTAAATTCAAAGTGTGCTACATGTATATGTGCGTTATGAATGAGTTTTAGATCCCATACATGAAATGTAATTATTATATAATTGCAGGGTTAAATCATTTATGTCTAGGGAATCGGAACTACGCCCAATAAATCGTGAAGAACTCTCACAGTGTTTTTTGATGTTTAATCTACAAAATCTACCACTGCTACACTAATGAAAACTGATGGTACTTAAAAAAGTGAACAAATAATTTACTAAGGGAAATTTAAATTTGCTGCTTAGGAAGTTGATGTAGAAAAAGTAAACCTGAATAAACTTCTAATAATTTAGATAATTTAGAGCAAGAAATTACAATTTAAGAATTAGGAACATCGGTAAAAAGTCATCACAGCTGAATTCTTCATTTTGTTTTGGACAGATAATACTACTAAAACAAGTTTTTTTTGTACCAAAAGTGATGAAGCCACGAGTTTATAAAAAAAACTGAAGGCCAGTTCTTTTACTTCACCTTTCTTATCAATACTTTCTTACCGTTAAGCTCAACGGTTAAAGAATGTAATAGATGGTTGAATCATGAAAACCAATAAAGATTTATAAAAGAAAGATTTATAAGAGAAAATATCAGGCAAGTGTATGATATAATATATTACACAGAAGTTGATAAATCTGGTCTTCGAGAAAGTATTTGATTCTATAGCTGTTTGGTTAAGAAAAGATTGCATTTTTCAATATAAATGACAGAAACTTAAACTGAGGATGCCGATTTATTGTTATTCAACATGGTATTTTTTTAATTAAATGTTTTTTAATTGGAATGGCTGTAGACAGGGTGATCCAATTTCACCTTATCTATTAATACATTGTGTGGAAATAACAATTTTAAGGGATTTCAAATTAATAAGAAAGAAATTAAATTCCACATCTATAAACAATATTCAAGGCAGATTCGTTCAAATATTAACTTGTTTAAAAAAATAGCATTTATATTAAATTAGAAGAAACCATTTGCAAGGAAAAAATGGTATATGACATATTTACTAAAAAAGTGGACATTAATAATTTTACCCAGTGTCGCGCAGCGATTATTTTTTGTTTTGGTAATGGGCGAATATTCAGTGAGAATGAATGAGAAGGAATTTTGTAAATGTCTAAGATATTATTTCTTTCCATTTTGCGATCATACCTCACGCCATGTAGATGTCAATATAATAGTAGAGTTCCCACAGTGGGGTCACGTGACCGTTTTTCCCGGACCAAGGTTAGAAAGTTGATTTGAGTCATTCTGAGGGCGCTGATTCAAATGAGGTGGGGTGAACATCCGGTATATCGAAAAATACATATATTTGCTTCCAGATGTCCGATATATATGAATTATGAGTCTAAATATATGTTTGAGTGTCGGGGATTATTTCGGGTTTAACGTCCTCGCAACAGCCAGGACCATATGTTTGGTTTGGTTTGGTTTTGATTTGTTTAACGTTTTATTAACAGCTAAGGTCATTTAAGGAAATGCTTCCATGTGTGTTGGGCCTCTTTGTTATTAAAACCAGTCATAAAGATAATATTTGTATTATAACCTATGGGTATAACATATGAAACAAGAGGCCCATGGGACTTAACGGTCACCTGAGTTACGTAAAAACTGATGTTATCGATGTTGCCAAATGAAAAAGTAATAGTTTTGTAACAAAGGTAACTTGAACTACATGTAATGCAAAAGTAGTGTGAAAGATCTTGGTAGTATATGTACTATGTACAAATAGTGGATCTGTCAGTCAGCCGACAGCACATGTCCCTTTAACTCAGTGGTAGAGCGTTAATAAAGCACCTCAAAACCCTTCCATTTATGAAGAGTTTTTGTTTCCATCGTATATCTGGGTCTGGAAAAGAAGATTGTTGAAATTTAAGCCAATTCGATTCGTTTGGGCCCTGTCCCTCAGTCCCCTGGGGTGGACCAGAGTCAGAATCTTTAAAGTATCAAACTGTCATCTCATGGTTATAATTTCAATCAGGTGTATAATATTTCCAATTGAAAATGAACAAAATATACCCAAAAGTATCAATTTCTTGTACAAACTATAGTAAACTTAACCACATGCAAAGGGGCAAAAGTGGAGCCTGGGTGTTATGAAATTCATTATTGGGGTAAATAGAAGACCCCCTCAATCTATGAAGATTACTTGTTTCCAGTATGTCTGAGTCTGGAGAAGAATTCCAATTATAATGTCTATCAAGATTCAATTATTTCCAATTTCCTAAAAGTATCATTTTTCTATATAGCTATAGTAAACTTTACCCCATCCACAGGGGATAAAGCGCTTTAAGACCCTTCCATCTATGTAGATTACCTGTTTCCAGCATATCTTGGTCTGGATAAGATTTTTTAATTTAAGCCAATTTGAAGTTTGAATAATTTCCAATTGAAAATGAACCAAACATACCCAATAGTATCATTTTCCTCTATAAACTTTAGTAAACTTCGTCCCCTCACAAGAGGCAAACATGGGGTATTGTAGTCATAAAATTCACAATTTTGATAAAGTACCTCAAGACCCTTTCACCTATGAAGAGTATTGGTTTCCAGCATATCTGGGTCTGGAGAAGAAGATTTTTTAAGTTTAATCCAATTTGACCATTTTTAGCCCCGTCTCTCAGAGCCCCTGGGGTTGGAACCATATAATTCACAATTTTGGTGCATATTTAACCAAGGAAGATTCCTGCAAAAATTCATTATAATCAGATCAACGGTTTCTGAGAAAAAGTCGAAAATGTAAATTGTTTACGGACGCACGACGTGCGACGGACGACGACGGACAAAGGGCGATCTGATTGGTCACTTGAGACTTCGTCAGGTGACCTAATAAATGACATCATTAACAAATACTCAGGAGCAGTATACGTTGCACAACCAGTACGCGAGGGAGGAGTTATAACCACGGAACTACATAAAATAGTTATCAACAGACTTCTGAGAAATATAGGCAGTTCCAACGTCGGTAACCTTATATGATGGACGGCGTGTGTCTCGCTTACATGTGCGGACGATGTCTCCCTTAGCGCTTATGCACGCCATCATGTAAAATAATAAGTTCATCAACATCACACCCCTGAACGTCGGGTATAGAGAGTAGAATCAGCTGTTACCCACTGAACGTCGGGTATAGAGAGTAGAATCAGCTGTTACCCACTGAACTTCGGGTATAGAGAGTAGAATCAGCTGTTACCCACTGAACGTCGGGTATAGAGAGTAAATTCAGCTGTTACCCCCTGAACGTCGGGTATAGAGAGTAGAATCAGCTGTTACCCACTGAACGTCGGGTATGGAGAACAGAATCAGCTGTTACCCAGTGCATGTGGTTAAGAGGCAACTAATGCGGGAATCGAGGATTCGTTTTCGCGCCTTATTCTTGGAATCACAAATGTGACTAAAACCAATCTTCTGCACCTACTGCAACATTGGGGATCTGTATGTATTCCTCTACTTCCTACAAAGCCTTGTTGTGTAACAGTTCGTAATGTCGTGTCTCAATAGAGTAACCCAGGTTCGAGGGGGTACCCGCGGTTCCGTACTGTTATTACCAGTGTTCAATTTAAGACG